CCCCCCCCTCGTACGCCACTGCTTTCAAATAAAAGGCTTCCTTTTCCACGCCTTTTAACTTTACCTCTCTTAATTCATACCATAAAGATTGTCCACTATAAATTAAGACAGCTTAGAAGAAAGCAAATCCACCAATATAAAAAATCAGCGATGTGCAGCCACCTGTGCCAGGGGGGGGGGAAGGCCAAGCGGCCATGAACCCCGTGGAAAATCTCCGAAACCTGTGGAATAGGTTTAAAAAAAGGTTTTAAATATTAAAATTACTTGTTAATCAAATTATAGAAACAATTTCATAATTGTTTTGATCATCTTTTTCTTCAAATTTTGTTTTCCCGTAAACAGGATGAATCTCAAGTCTGAATTTCATTGACACTAATCATACATTAATATATAAATTTGGCTTGTCTGTCTGGGTGTCTGTTTGTCTGTTTGTATCGAATAAACGTCAAAACGGCTGAACCGATCGGGCCCAAATTTTTTGTGGGACCTCACGTGACCCCAGGGAAGGTTTATGAATGATCAATTTTTAAAAATTTGTGTTTAAAAGTTTTTTATTTTTTTTAAATTTTGAAAATGCGCAAAAAATATTATGAAATCCGCAAACTTTTTTTGTTTTTGTTTTATACTGTACAAAGAGAAGATGTTCAGAGATAAAGCCACAATTAATATTTGAAATAGAGAATGGGCGCGAATGTAAAAACAAAATTTACACAAGCATATATACAGGGGGAGGGACTAAAGGGGCTAAATGCCCCCTCATGGATCAGTGAAGTCTATGGTTTCCATGTGATGCAGGGTTAATTTTGTACGAAAAGAGGGAAGGGGAAGGGAAAGGGGTAAAAGGTTAGGCTAGGGAATGGTGAAAGGGGAAGGATAGGGAAAGTGGTTGGAATAGGGTTGGAAAGAGGATGGGTAAGGGAATGGGGGAAGCGAACGGTAATGGGAAAGGGGATTGAGGTAAGGAAAGTGGTATGGAATGAGAAAGAGAAAGGGAAAATTGATTGGGGAAGGGATAGAGGAAGAGGGAGGAATAGGGAAAAAGGATGTGAAAGGGAAAGAAGAAAAAGGAGGGGAAAGGAAAGGGGGCAAGGAAAGAAAAGGGGATGGGAAAGGTGAAAGAGGAAGGTTTAGGGAAAGAGGAAGAGAAAGACTAAGAGAATGGGGAAATGGGATGGGATAGAGGAAGGGAAAGTGGGAAAGGAAATGGAAAGAGCAAAGAAAATGAAAGGCGGAAAGGAGAAGGAAAAGGGAAAAACGGAAGGTAAAGGGTACTGAGAAAAAGAAAACAGGAAGGGAAAGTGGGTAACGAGAGAGAGGAAGGGGAAGGAAAAGGAGAGAAAAGTGAAAGGGAACGGGGAGGGCCGGGAAAAAGAAAAGGGAACAGAGAAAAAGGAAAGGGGGCAGAAAAGACAAAGGGGATGGAATTGAAATAGGAAAGAGGAATAAGGAAGGGAAAGAAAAAAAAATGGGGAACGGTAAAGGGAAAGAAAAGAAATGAAGGAAATGAAAGGAAAAGAAAGGATAAAAGCGGAGAAAGGTTTAAGTAATGAAAGGGGATAGGAAAGGGAAAATAAAAAGGGTAAGGTAGAGTTGGAAAGAAAAGATGTAAGGGGGAATGGGAATGGGAAACAGGAAAGGGTACAGCGGAAGGGACGGGAAAGGGGGGGAATATGAAATAGGGAGGAAAAAGTAATGGGGAAGGGGAAAGAGAAAAGAAGAAGGGAGAAACGAAAGGGGGAAAAGGGGAAAGAAAAGGTGGAACGGGAAAGGGGATTCAATGAGGATATGGGTAGGAAAATGAAAAAGGGGAAAGGGAAAAGAAAAAAAGTGAAAAATAAGGAAATGTTAAGGCCTTGACAGGGAGAGGGAATGGGCAGGGGATAAGGAAGAAAAGGGAATGAGAAAAGGCCCAAGAAAGGGGAAGGGAAGGTGAATTGGAAAGGGGAAGGAGAGGAAGGGAGAGAGAAAGGGAAATTAAGAATTATATGGTATAGGAAGGGGAAACAATAGAATTAACATTTTTCTTACAATTTTTCAAAAAATTTTATCTTCTTCCAAAAAAATGGTTTCGCGGATTTTTTTTTTCAATGTTTCAAAAAAATTGTTTACTTTTTACTTTATTTTTTCATGAAATCCAAGCAAAATAAAAATTTTGGAAATGTCTAAAACTTCGATAATTCCTGTTTCTTTTTACTCACCCTGTATATAAAAAACACTACAGTGAAACCCTTAATAACGAATACATCGAAAGAATTCATCAAATGTCGTATTCTTCACTTTCTGGTAATGGAATGTTGCAGATATTTAGTTTTTTAATTAAATGATTATATGGAACTCTTTAAAACTGTTCCCGCATATTCATGGCTATTTATTTATTTTCGAAAATACTAAAATTTACGTAATATAGTATAAAACTCATTGAAAAATTGTGAAGACGACATTTGATTAATTCTTCCGATGTATTCTTTATTAAGGGTTTCACTGTACAAAAAATGTAAAAAGCATGTAATGAAAAGAAGGTACGATCTAAGCCCAATTATCTATCAGAGTGAAATTATCTCCTACTCAATCTAAAACTGTTCTAACTTGATAAATCTAAATTTTGTCTCTGTTTCTACAGGGTAAATCTTCAATAAGATCTAGAGCTGGACACGTACCGACTTTATTGAAATTGTTCCGTTCTGTTCTAGTACGAGGGCCTTTAGCTAGATCGTTCCGATCTTGTTCCTTTTTTCCAATCATTCCGTTCTCATTCTGTTTAGTTCTCGTCCAGGCTTAAAAGGATAAGCTTAGATCATTTCTGGGCCGAGCAATGTATATTTTTTGTGACGTTGGGGAGGGAGTCATTATATCCTTAAAATGTATGATAGCCTGTAATTGCTGATATAACCTGGTTTATCTTTATAAAGGGGGGTGTACAATTTGTAGATTAAAAAAAATTAATTTTCATAATCAATATTTCAATAATATTAAAATATAAATAAATAAATTATAGAAAACAATTTCTTTTAACCTAAATCTCCCCTCCCTCACGGGAGAGGGAGGCCGGAAAAAGGGGGGGTTTAGAGTGGGGGGGGGGGACAGGTGATCGAATTAAAAAATCTTTTAATTATTTCTAGTATACATTCCTGATTTATAATGCGTCCCTGACTTAGAACGCGTTCTTGAAAATAAGAATGCGTTCCTGATTTTAAACCTTCTTTTAACCTGTTCCGTTCCGTTCATCTTCATTCGTTCCAATATTTTTAAGAAAGGGTTCTTTGCGTTCCGTTCTTTTTTAGGAAACTATGGGATCATTCTTGATAGTTCTGTTTGTTCATGTGAAAAAAACGATAATTCTTTAGGAACAACGCCCAGGCCTAATGGGATCCTCCACCTCAATCTTAGAGTAATAAAGTTTCTTTCAGCTTCTAGATCAGCTTCTCGGAGCAATTATAAAAAATGTCAAAAGGCATCTGGGATATTTCCCAAATGCCTAGGTATCTTGGAAGTTTCCCAAATTCCTATTTGAGGTATTTGAGGGGGTGGTATATTTTTAAGATTTTGGAAATTTCTCAAATGACTGGAAATTTCCAAGATACCCAGGCATTTGGGAAATTCCCCAAATACCCAGACATTTGATAAATTCCCCAAATACCCAGACATTTGAAAAAATTTCCCAAATTCCCCAAATTTTCAGTCATTTGAGAAATTTCCAAAATTTTAAAAGTATACTACCCTCAAATACCGATAGGAATTTGGGAAATATCCCAAATGCCTGGGTATCTGAGAAATTTCCCAAATGCCTTGGTTTTTGGGAAATTTCCCAAATACCTGGGTATCTGGGAAATTTCCCAAATACCTTTATATCTGGGAAATTTCCAGTC